TGTCGGAGGTTCTGCGATACACGTATTTCTAGTGTAAAAGAGGCCCTGTTAGGGGTAAATTCCGACAAGCGACACGGCCTTGACCCGGCGACATGAGAGCCACGAACTGGCGACGACCGACAGACTATTGCAACGAATTAGCGAAAGCGACACCAATGTCAAGACTGTCCGACAGCAAATTTGCGCGTACAATATTCGGTAGTAACTACTGAATAATGATCAATAATGGCCAATAATGGCTAATAAGGGTCCAATAAAGGCAAACAGAAATACGTCTCATTTTACTTCTGTTTTGATTGTTCATTTGATTTGATTGACGTGTTCAGCGCATCACTCCTTTTGAGGACTTTGCCGCTTTGCGTATCATGCTCTCCTCGTTGCATGACCCACGTGCGCGCTCCATCAATCTGTTAGAGAGATTTTTTTTCTTTATCGGTCGCGTTCATCTCGGTGTTCCAAATGGTAAGCGAGTTATTGAAATACATCACTATCAGAGTCATTAGCGAGTCGTCGGAGTGCCGTTGACGGCATCAACGGCATGGGAAAACACACAAAAAAAACACACACAAAAAGGGAAAGAAATAGCGAGAAAAGCAAGACAAGTTAGAAAGAAGAGAGCGACCAGCTTTCTCAAACTGGTCGCCACTTTCAGACTTGTTGTGGAGAACCTTTTTCAGCCAAATGCCCTCCAGAAATGACATCCCAACTGCCTTGGAGTTTGCATATCTATTTGCGCCCACCATTCGCGAGTCATTGAAACAACTCACTGGCATTGGCTTTGTCTACTACTCTTCCCCACACTCTTATTATGAAGTACCGGATGAGATGAAACTCCGGTTTCGAGACCTGCCTTCTTTGTCAGTTCCGTCGTCAGTAGAAATGGCAAAAGATGACCAGAGGTTGATGAGAGACTGGAGGGACAGCTTTGGTAAACCGGTCCGTCAACTGACCATTCAAAATCAAAGTACCAAGGACAATGTAGGTACACTTCCATTGTTCGCACACACAACACCAGATCAGCCTCCAAGACCATTAGATTTTTCCACCACAGACGACCTCACAGCTAGAGAAACAGTGGTCACAGAGATTGAGCAGGAAGCTGTCAGAGGAGCCATTTTATTTGAGGCCAACAGTGTTGTGGTCGTCAAGCGCGACCACATACGTGGATACCCGAACAGGGGACCCTTCTTTGTTGGAATTGTCATAGCTGATGTCACCGACAAGGAAGAGAATTCTTTTTGTGATATTGAGTTGTTTGTTTCTTCATTTGAAGACTGTTTGCTGTTTACTTAGAATGAAAGCGTACGAATCTACCTAGATGCTATCGTCAGTAAAGTGGGGGAAGAGCATTTTGAAAAAGGGTGCGATTTTGTGAAATTGACGGCGGTATCATAAGAGACATTTCTTCGATACCAAAATCATCGGCCCAAATCGTCTGGACCTTTAGTTCATTTTTCACAGACTTCTTGTAAACGCATGGCTTACAGATAATGAATGATTGATAATGTCTTTCCTCCTGGATTGTTTTAGTTACGGAAAAGCACAGTCTGACAACTAAATCAGGGTTTAACTCGGAAGAAACATTAGACTCTTGCACTACCAGAATTTTAGAAACGTTATGATAGCTCGAGTGTTTTGCCAGATTAGGCCTCGATTCACGCCAAGCCATTTTAAAAATAGCTCTACACTCGTATGGTTTACTAAATGGAATTTTATTGACTTCAATTACTATTCCAAGTAGTCTAAAAGCATATCAAACATTTATAAAGGTCTTAAAACCCTGGGCTTAAAAGCACTAAAGATGGAGGCCGTATGTTCCGTTGGCGTCGTTGCAGCGAATGCGGATTGTCAGACTAGCAACGAGCTAAAAAATTATTATTGAAATTCCGACAGGCGACACGAGAATGTTCCGAAATTGCGACATAGCTGGCTGTGAAAATCAGACGGGGGACATGGGCACCCCCCCTAACAGGGCCTCATAAAAAGTGATTATATGAATCGTATACGGAACGCAAAAATTAAAATAGATATTCCAAAACTATGAGAGGCGAGTGAATGTTGTTTATTAATAACATGTTTAAATTACGAAACACGAAAACGAAATTCACTTCTGTTAAGTCTCTTTATAGATTTCTGAAAGGTCACTTTTAAATATTTCTTGGTTTCATATAAGGAAGCTTGATGTTTCTGTCGAGCGCAACGTTCACCACCAGAACACACACGTCTGTGAGTCCACACCTTTCCATAAACCGGTGATTTTTAAACAATCCATGCCCGTTCCCATTCTTCATGTCATGGTCCTTTTCCAGAATTCGGCATAAACAAAATCTACTTTTCCTATCACTGGAACCTTTTTGTGCTTTGGATAGGAACTGCGACAAGGACATTTTCTTTAAGGGCTTCCAAAATGATGCTGGAGTCCGACGATTTTTAAACGCTCCAGCGTCAGTAGTACTACACCTGCGTATCAAGCAAAGCGTTTTAATCACGACCACTACCAAATACGTAACCTCTGGTAATTGCATAGCATTTATTTTGTGATTGTCCCTGTTGGTCCTGGGCACTTTGTCGAAGAAGATTTTGACCCGTTGTATTACACTCACCGTGAGTGTCTTTCAACAACAACAACACTAATAACGTTCATTTGCATGATGACTATAACAACTTATAGGGTCTTATAGTATTGCAAAAGGTAAGTAAAATAAAATAATAATTATGATATTATAATGTAAGGTGACATTATTCTTACATTACAGTACACTGTCACGCAAGTTATTCAATAATGAAATACTAGAAAATAGAGATAAACCGTTGTTTTACCTGTGATGTTCCTTCTTCTTTATCTGAGTCGTCCAAAGTATTAGAACGCTGTCATCTGCATCCTCGTGGCTAGTCTCTTTTCCAAATGAAAGGCTTTCGAGGCACGTCTACTCTTTGTTTTCATGGAATACTGGCTCAAAAATATCACTGGCCTCGGTGATCATGATCAATGCACTTTAAAAGGACCTTAAAAAGGCTCACTGGTTGTAGGGCTTCCAAGAGGGGTTGAAAGGGGTTTTTGCGCGATACGGGATTAAGTGTTTTTAATTTTTGATCGTGAAAGGTGAAAACACGAAATTGAAATTCGTGAACTGTGAATGGTTTGCTTGTGGTGATACGTGATCTTTAAAATCTTTTATCCGATATTCGTGATTTTCAACTAATTTTTTCGTGAAAATAGATCATGTAAGTTGCAACTGAAGAAAAATTTTGCACTGAAGCCAGTGGAACTTCATTAATGAACTTGTTTAAAAGGTCCTAAGGGAATTAAAGTCGTTCCCTTATATGTCATAAATGATCTAGCCTGCGAGAGGAGATGCCTTTATTTTTCAAGGGCCGCACTATTGGGCCCGTGGCATTTCCCCTACCAACTTCCAACTTTGGGACAACTCAAAATTGCACAGGCTGAGATATACTTTAGTGCGGCAAGCTAAGATCCTTAGACCAGTTGATCATACTGTATGAAGCGATATAAGGTACCGGTATTAGAATTCGTAAAAACAGTTTCTTTAATTTTATAATTAAATCAAGATCCTACAATCTTTTGAATTTCACCTTTGGAACTGGATAGTATTTCCTTGCGCGACCTAGGCAGAAGTCGATTCAGTTAATTGGCCATCATTCGTAAAAGTGTGGATGCATTTAACATAAAGGATTTTGATTCTGTCTGTGATTTTTTATGGAGACGAGTTGGAGCGCAACTCGCTACTGCCACAGTTACAAACTCTCAGAGCGCAGCTTGGTACTGAGGCAGGCCTAGGATTGAACGACTGGCATATCTGAGAACCTCCCCAGTACAGCTGTTGATGATTTCTTAGACGTTTTTAACCTTGTGCAGTTATATCTTGTTGTACGTGCCACGAATGCTGTGAGTGAACGCTCGGCCTTGCCCTTAGAACTCCCAAAACGTATCTTCGAACAACTCAGTGTTGCAAGAAAGATTGAATCACTCCATGATTTTCCACTTTCAAAAGGAAATAACTGACAAATTGAACATAGCAGGTACTGGAAATCAGTTTGTTTCAGCATCAAATGACAGGAAAAATAGCTTTCGAAAATTTAAGGTCATGCAATTAAAACTTTCTCAAACCATGTATTGAACACTACTAAAAGCAAACTGACAATTTATAATTTTCTACGAAAGTTTGTTAAGTTTTTTTGCTAAGCTGGAAAACGTCAATAAGGTTTTCTTACTTTGTTGACCACAATGAAATCTTGGTATTTGCCATGCCCCCGGACCCCCCTAGTTTATCGTGCCTTCGGCACTCACTCGTCATTGGCGTTATCGTGCCAATATTACACATATTCCAAGTTATGCCCCACCAAGGAAAAATTCCTGGCGCTGCCCTGCTTTTTTAGCTCTTGTTTCACCCGCCGAGAAACAGCGCTAGCGATCTTAAGCTGGGAAACAACTTCCGTGACGTCACTATTTTTCAATCAATCATAATTCAGCTCTTATATTTTTGGGGAGCAAACACGTGTGGGGATCCCGGGTGCAATGACCGACGGTACTGTAAACAATGAGCAAGTTTTTTAAAATTGGAGGGAGTAATAAATTATGCAGATCCCACGGGTTTTCTTGGAGGTGGAGAACGAATTCGAATACCGATAAACAGTAAGCATTCATCCTTAGAAGCTCTTAATTAGGATCCTTAAGCGGCAGATCATTGAGTACACTGGTTTGAAAGCTAAGTCCGAAATCCCTAATTGAAATAAAACTCTGTTAGAAAAGTCCGCAGAAGGGAGCAAAGAGAGAAGGATACACGATAAACAACGACAATAAAGATGAAATGAATTGTTGAAAATAGCCGGCTGTCACTGAATTGTCATGAGGACCATGAGATAACTTAATGTGCGGATTCTTTCCGTTACCCTTTTAAAAGTGCACTCTTCGTTTTAGTTTTACATCCCAACAGTACTAAATACCAAAGTCCACCTAAGCTGACCGAGTGACTGCCACG